GAAATTTCATTAAGAGGGCCTAGAAGAGGATTTCATAGGGTGTGGCCTTTAAGTATAGAATTCTTTTCGTAGGGTGTGGGCTTCTTATGTAGAAGCATTTTCTCAATAAAATAGGCAGGAAGCCCAGATGAGGATTTCTGAGGCTGTAACCTCTGCATATAAAGCTCTTGTGAGATTTTGTTACGGACAGGCAGGCCCCAGAAGAGGATTTCATAGGGTGCGGCTTTTACTTGGCAAATTTAGATGTAAAAAAAATTTACTACGAATGAGGCCAGTGGCCTTTTAATTTTCATTCCGACTTAGGTTTACATCTCGCTTCGATGGGCCCGAAAGGCCTTTCGACCTAGATCATGGGGGGGGGTGAGCACATATATATATATATACATATATATATATATGTATATTCGTAATTTTTTTGGGGGGAACTACGATGGGTGTCCTCCGAAATGAAAGACGCCAAGTTTCAAGGGTAACACAAGCCACGTCGCTGAAATTCAGCAGAGCCTGATAGGGCCGATAGGATTTATGGTCTCAAGGGTGTGGGAGAGGGGGAGGATGCGAGCTTGAACTCATAAGATGCTCTGCACACGGTATTCGCAGACAAACAAACAAACAAGTTCAGAACCAACAGGGCGATCTCTCAGCTAGCCGGGGCCGCCAGAGACGAAGGGTTTTACAGCTTTACATCCGCTTCCATGAGGGCTTCTATTCTAGACGGGTTGTTTCGGGACACGCGGCAGAGCGTGGCATATTTCAGGAACCCGAATTTAGGGCTTTTTGTGGGGGCTTCGCCATGTCAACCCCTGTGGTCCCACGGCCTGCGGCTCAGGATGCGACTGGTCAGCCAAAACACTCGAATTTTGCCTGGCAATGCAAGGAAGGACGAGTGATGGGAGGTTGAGGTGCGACAACAGTCGGCTGGAGTAGGTGAGATACACGAAGCCACTAGAACAAAGACAACAAAGCAACGCGAACATGTTTGCAGTTCTGGTTTCAAGCATGGCCCCTCTGTGAACCGGAACTGCCCTTAGCCCCACTGCCCTACCTATCCCGTTTAAGCCTGAAGGGTTTAAGTCCGATACTTTTGCAGTAAAGGCTTCAAAGCTTAGGGCCTTAGGGCTTATGTTGGGGGTCTACAGTTCCAGCGTGAAAGGGCGGATGCAAAAACCTGATGATTTGAGGGCACAAGTTTTCAGGGCTTTCGGGGCTTAGGCTTCAAGGTCCATTTTCGTGGGCTCTTGCATTACTTAGGGCGGAAGATCCACATGCTCGAAAGCAGAACGGTACTTGCAACGCTATCTTTTGAGGGATTGCGGGGCCAAGAAGCCTTCAGGCTTCTGGGCATCCTCTGGTGCAGCATTGGCGTACCTGGGATGGGCGCACGACTCCCGACGATTGATTCACTACCCAACTCGTTGCTTTTGTTTTAACCTTGAAATTGCGCGAGTTCTGATTCCTGCCCGAAGAGCCCCCGAGGGGCCCGAATGTGAACGGCTTGGCACTCGAAGCGACCTTTCGGCTTTTGTGTGTGGGGGGGGGGGGGCTCTTGTGCCACATGCAAGAGGCCTCCCCACGGAGTCCTTGGAGATTCTAAGCCAACTGTGTTGTGGCCTCCCAAAAACTGAAATGAAAAAAAAAAGGGGGGGGGAGGATTTTCCGAGCGGCGGTCTCCAGAAGCCCATCAGAGCACAAGGTCTATTTGTGGGGGGCAGTTGGGGGTGCGGGGAGGTGGTAGGGGGGGGGGTGGTAGTGGGGGGGGGGTGGCATCCACTCGGCCCTCTTCCACAGCTCCCCGGGCCTTGCTGAGGACTTGTGGTTAGCTTTGGAGCAGAGGCATGATGGTGCGAAGTTGTTCTTAACAGGATCGAATGTTGGAGCAGCGAAGCACAGCTTGTGCTCTCCTCCATTTTGAGAGTCGGGGCCGCCCCATGCCACGTAGCGCTGATGATTTCCGCAACTCTGCGTGTGCACTCCGTGCCACCGTGAGAGGATTATGAGGCGGTTGTTGGGTACCCTCCCCCCTAAAGAGTGTGGGGGTTTCCGAAAATAGGTGTGCCCCAAATCGCTCCAAGGGGATTCGCTTCAATTTGGGGTCTAAAAGGAGTGACCCTAGTTTGGGAAATGCCCCACGTGTATACTAGGTTTCCTGCTCTTGGGCAGGAGGGTTCATGGATGTTACGCGTCCAGGGCAGAGGGCACAAGAGATCCAGAAACCTCGAGGCCGCTTGGGATGTGGTTCTGTGGATGACAAGTACTTGGGGTTTAGGGTTTTGGGTTTTGGGTTTTGGGTTTAGGGTTTAGGGTTTAGGGCTTAGGGTTTAGGGTTTAGGGTTAGGGTTTAGGGTTTAGGGTCTAGGGTTTAGGGTGCAAGTATTCTTGGAGACGTGCACTCGGCCCCAGTCCATGAGGACCAAAGATGGGAAGGGCCGCTTCTCAACCTAATGTCCCACTAAACCCTGTCTTGAACCCAGACTCCATCAGCTGGGAGAGGCCTCTCATAAACTTTCTGCAAAAGAACCCTAAACCCTGAACCCCTACAGACCCTACAAGCCCTAACCGAAAACCAAAACCCTTGCAAGGGGGAGGGAAGGTTGCCTGTGGCGGCTTCGGGGCTTCAAGCCATGTAATTGCCAGGGTTTTTGTTTGTGTTTGGGGTTTAGGGTTGAGGGTTGCGGGTTCAGGGTTGAGGGGTGTTGGGGTTCGGGATATTGGGGCGAGGGGGGGGGGGGGGAGGCCGTTTCCGGGTCCAGGGTGAGCCCTCCAAAGGGGCAACGCCAGGTATGGGGTTGCAACTATCCCCCCAATATCCCTCAGCCCCAAACCCTGAACCCTAAACCCCAAACCCCAAACCCTAAACCCTAAACCCTGAATGCGGGTCTGCTTTGTTTCCAACATGAGAGCCGGCGTTTTCATTTTGGATGATGTTGGACTCAAAGGCCTCGACCCTAAACCCCAAACCCTAAACCCTAAACTTTTAAACCCTCAACCCTCAAAACCCTCAAAACTCCAAACCAGAAAGAAGAAGCAACCTGAGTAAGGAGACCCTAAACCCTCGCTCTCTGGCCTGGCGGGAGGAACCGCGGACCCGCAGCGCGGCACAGCTCCCGTCGCAACTTCAAGATGTTGGCGCAGTTGACCCCCTCTCCTAAAAAAAGAAGGGCTGGTTCTTATAGTCGGGAATGAGGGAAAGAGGTACCCTCCTAGACTCCCCCTGAAAGGGTATATGTAGGCCCCCGAACTCCCAAACTCCCTGCTAAGAAGGCGAGATTGGGGTGCCGCCGTTTACCGTTCAAAGCTGCTTGGGGTTGTGTTCTGCACGGCCGATCCTGGTCTCTGTCCTGAATGCAAGGTTTGAGGCTATGGTGTTTTTTGTGCCTGGGAAGCCCGCCGCCACCTAAGCAGAAGGTTTCCCCTAACACCCTCAGAGACATACCCCCTTCACCACTGGAGCACAGTCCTCGGGCAGAAGCTCCGAGCTGGCAAAGCTGAAGGCATCAAGGCATCAGCCGGCACGGGCTTTTGCATGAGTCGACGGGCAAAGCTGAAAACAAATGCATCGGTTGGGCTTATCGAATTCAAGCTTAAGTCACCACCTCTTGGGGCTGTTCAAGGCTATGGCAACTGTAGGGAACTCTGTTGAGCAGATGAAACTGTGGACCATGACCTGCCTGTGTATGTTGCAAGTGGGGCGCAGAGGGCCTATGCACAAAAGTCTAAACCTTCAACCATTGAAAGCCAAGTGCGAACCTCCAGGGTTCTAGGTTGCATGAGATGGTCTAGGGTTTGGGGTTTTGGGGTATTGGGGTACATGTGACGTAAGCAAAGGTGCCTGAGCCGAGATTGCGCAACGAGCACACCAAGATCGACTGCAACAGCAACATGGACGACGATGGTGAAGACAACGACGACAACGACAAGCACTGCGCTTGCAAGCCCAAGCGCCGCCACCACCACCACGACCACGACCACGACCACGACCACGACCACGACCACGACCACGACCACGACCACGACCACGACCACGACCACGACCACGACCACGACCACGAACACCGCAGCAGCAGCAGCAGCAGCAGCAGCAGCAGCAGCAGCAGCAGCAGCAGCAGCAGCAGCAGCAGCAAGTGGAACAGAAAACCGCTTGTGACACCCGTTTCTGACACAACAGGAGAGGTGTTGACGAGAATCTGCGTGGTTCTTGTGCTGGGGTGCTCATATGAGTCTCCTCCTTTAGTTACTTTAGTTTTATTGACTTCCAGATCAAACAGGATTTCCTTTTGGTAAGAAGCAGGCAGGCACAGACCAGGAGCATCAGTGGTCTAGTGGCAGAATACATCGTTGCCATCGATGTGACCCGGGTTCGATTCCCGGCTGAGGCATTTAACATCTGGCAGCTGATCCAGACAGTCAACCCTCCGTGTTTGGGCCAGTTGGCGAGAAGAAGAAGCAGAAAAAAGTTTCCCTTCTTTTTTTTGTGCTTTCTTTTCAATTGTTTATTTCTCCTTTCTCTTGCCTTCCTTTTTTTTTCCTTGCAAAGTGGAACCTCCTGGCTTGGAAAACGTCTCTTCGGCTCTTTCAAGACACCCTTCCTCGATGGCACTCTTCATGTCTGCGCTTGTGTACGTGCTTGAACTGATCCACCTGCCTGTGCGCCTTCTGCACACCTCCTCCCTCACTTGCATTGGCTAATTTGCTCGTGTCAACTGCTGGGCTTCCTGACCAGGTCAGCCAGAAGTTTCTGGCGCTGCTTCCTCTGTTGACTTCACCCGCAGATGCCCCCCAGCTTTCCTACATGGCGCTTGCTTAAGTGGGGCAATGGCAGTTAGTGGTGGCCGTGGGTCCTACATGAAAAGCGCTTGCGCTTGCGCCATGGCGCTTGCTTGCACAAACAGCACGGCGCAAAAGAGGTTCATCTATTTGTTGCAAGTCTTTTTTCGAGGGGCCTAACTTTGGGATTTGGCCATTCTTTGTTGCCTTCCTTTTGCGCACACGAGCCTCTTTTCTCACTGGCAGGACTCCATGCGGAAGAATTCCGGCACCAGCACGCCATGCCGCTTCACTCTGCATTGGCAACAAGGGTTGCACAGGAAACAAAAACCGCACTTAAAGGGAGCACTCTTTGGGAGGTCTGTACAATCCAGACGATGGAAGGGCTTGTCTTCAAGATCCTGTACGTCCTTCACATTTCCCACGCTCTGCTCAAAGAGGCACCGAGGAAACGGGTTCTTGGCCCCTCGCTGCACGGGCCCAATCGACAACATTGCGAGAACCTCTTGGGGGGGACCCTCCATTTCAATGATGTCGCGCAGCTTCGTCAAGACGTCGGCTATCGAGATGCGGAACTCAGGGTCTGGCGTCAACATGGCCAAAGCAAGCTCGTCGCGCTGCGTCCGCACGCCCTGGAAGTTTGGATCCTGGCTTGGATGGTAAAGCCTCGTCTGGATTCCGAGCCTGTCCGACAGGAACGGTGGGGGCTTTGCATAGAGAAGGCGGTAGAGGACCACACCCAAGGAGAAGACGTCACTCACAGGACGTCCACTGCCCCCTGCTTCCAGAGCTTCTGGTGCAATGTATCCTGGTGTCCCAGCCGTTTCTTTGCACTCCTCATGGCCCTCCTCGCATGCAAGTCCAAGGTCGATGACGGCGGCGTAGCAGGAGCTCTCCTTGCAGCTGACGCAAATGGAAAAACGCTTTACGAGAAGCTTTCCTTTGCACATAAACAGCTCTTGCGCGGTCTACTTTACCTTGTTTTACCTTGTTTTACCTTGTTTTACCTTGTTTTACATTGTTTTACCTTGTTTTACCTTGTTTTACCTTGTTTTGCCTTGTTTTACCTTGTTTTACCTTGTTTTACCTTGTTTTACCTTGTTTTACCTTGTTTTACCTTGTTCTACCTTGTTATACCTTGTTTTGCCTTGTCTTACTTTGTTTTACCTTGTTTTATATTGTTTTACATTGTTTTACCTTGTGTTACCTTGTTTTACCTTGTTTTGCCTTGTTTGACCTTGTTTGACCTTGTTTGACCTTGTTTTAACTTACTTCCTTCATCATTTCACTTTCTCCTTGCAGTTGACCATGAGATTCTCGAGCTTGATGTCCCTGTGGACCAATCCCTGGCCGTGCATGGCTGCCACGCCCTCGACCGCCTGGAAAAACAGCGCCAGCACCTATAGCGCGCAATTAGGCAAGTCATTGAGTCATCATCATGCTGGGGAACTTGGCCGCTAAACTAAGAAGGGTCTGATACAATATGGATGCGTAACGAAAACAACTGATAGCTTGACACTGCAAGTAAGCGCTTCCAATTTACGACTTTTAAAAAACAGTGCGTGAACCTACTTGTGAGCTTACCTACCGAACACCTACACGAGCATCTTACACACCCAGGTCAAGTCCAAGCACAAAGGCCCTGCTGAAGTGAGACCCAAGCTTGTCCCAGCAGAGTTCCCTCCCGCATAAGCAGTCGGCGCTCCCATGGCAACGCTTGACCATGCCGAGAAAATCCCCAGAGTTGAAATACGGCATCATCAACCACATGCCAAGCGAAGTCTTGACGTAGTCTGGGGCGCCAATCGTGGAAGTGCAGTACTCAGAAACACCGTACATCCGTCGCATCATGTCCACTTCATGCTTTGCCGCTGCAGAGTCGCCCTGGATCAGCTTCACAGACACATCCGCTGAGGCCGGAGAACCGCATGACGTCGAACACAAGAAAACGCGGCCGAAGCCCCCTTCTCCTAAGATCTTCTTCACCTTGAGGCGGGCTGCCCACTCAAGGGGAAAGTGCCCAGCCGTGCCCTGGAGCCGCCCAAGCTGCTCAAGATGTTCGCTCTCCTCCATGAGGCTCACCGGAGTCGGCCTGGCGAAAGTCGCCACAAGTCCCTGGGCCACCCTTGCACCGACTTGCATAGACATGTTGCGAAAACTCAATTATTCTAAGCCCCCGGCGATAGCTTCACATCCGCACCCTCCTGACATCTTTCCGGCAAGGGCAGCGAAAAAAATCCGGGGAATGTTCTTGCAAAACCCGGACTCCTGCAGCAGCCGCCATTGAGAGTGGTTGAACGCCAGTCGACGCACCAAGAATTGTCGGTCACCTTAGGCGAAAGGTCCTGGCTTACAGTTTGGGTCGAAACTGCGCAACTTATTCAGCATGTCCAAACATGTCCATGCATGTCCATGTCGTTAAGATCGCCGTCCTGGTGCCTGCTTTCGAGGCGCGCTGCTCCAACACATGATGGCAACAAAAAGAGGCTTGCAAGCAAGCAAAAAGGGAAGCTAGGTCCCATGGTTGGACCTACAGCTAGTCATCAGATAACGAGTGCCCTTGGAGCATACTGGATCCAAAAATGGCCAAAAACACGCCGTCGTCCGGAGCAGTCACAAAAGCCACTTGAAAACTGCCACTTGGCCCCATGGACTGTCACAAAAAAAAAATGCTGGCAGCTCCTCACATCTAAAGCATCGACTAGTGGGCTACGACAGCAAGGCAGCTCACATCTGCAAGGAAATGGGTGCCCGGCATCACACGTCGACCTCAACCTCGATGTGCCCGCGCACGCCGCATTGAGGTGTGCATGGTACGCCAGGACAGCCTGCCCCGATCCCGGGCCGACCAACTGCCCTCGCCTTGGACCAGGCGGTCGACCGTAAGCATCGAAGCGAGACAACCATTATGCTGACGCTGGACAGCGCTCGCTTCGTTCGCCTCAGAACCAAGCGACAACACGGAAGTGCCCGTTGGGGGACCGGCTGACGGGCCGCCCGCTGCCTGACCCCAGCCGAGTAACACAGGCGCAGCCAGGTTGTGCGACCCCTGTGAACCTCTGGGGGTCGAAAAAGAGTGCGACCAAAAAAAAAAAACCGGCAACTGTGCCAGTTTACACGCCAGCAACAACATGTGCCTGCAAACGGGGAGGAAGGCAGGCTGGCGGCGAACTCGGGCTGTGGCGAAGTGGAGCGGCAACTATAGTAGCACTGGCGAACGCTGAGGGTGCAGTTTCTCGTACCATCGGACCTCGATGCCGAGGAGCCGGCAGCGGGTGAACTAAGGAGCCGAGTGGCGCAACGGCAAGGGCGAGACTACTGAGAGACGGGCACCTCGCTGGAAGGCCATGGGCCATGACCTCGATGCTCGTGTCATTCTGGCGCGATTTGGACATCGACGTGAGTTCACCAAGCCAGCACTGTGGGCGACAGTTCGCACCGGGCAGCACCCCCTCGCAACAGACGTGGTGCAAATAGTAATTCATCGGAAATTGCTGGGTCTGGCCGGGTGGTGGGGTCGCCGCATTACGATTTTTCGGACGAAGGGTCGCGACTTCCTTCTTGTTGTTCTCTTTCACAGACTTTTGCGCCTGCAAGGTGCCACGGGTCTGCGCACGGGCGACCTGTCCGCGGCAAGGCCCCCTATTTCGGATCTGAGGACGACCAGTTTTTGCGGGCCGCCCTTGTGCGCTCGGGGCACGTGCAGCACTTGCATCGCTCTGCGACCTTTAGCGAGGCGCCATCCAACTCGACGGTGGATGCGGGCGATGCGTCCGTGTAAGGGGGGACACCAGTGTTGCGTCGCAGCGCGGAGTTCTTCCGTTGGCGGTGGCGCCGTGGAACGAGGTTGGGACGCAGGCGGCTGTCGTGCCTTCGGCACCGACCGCCTCTCGCGCCACGCGGAATCAGGCACGCTTGACACCGGACGCGCCAACAGGCCTGCGCCACCTGTAGGCTGAGACTGCGCTGGACTTGGGAAAATATGCGAAAACCACAAAATCCCCTCATGCCGACGTCTCGCCGACATGAGCGTTGATGATGCTCCCGTGCACGACGCGCGGCGCAATGGACTGCTGTTTTGGCAAAGACGACGCCATGCTTGTCAGCCCAGTCGGGCTTCACAGGAAGCCTTGCGACGGTTCCCATGCCATGCAAGGGTGGTGCTCGCGAATGCCGCCAGGCGCAAGTGCCCACAAACTTACGCGGAGCTCAGCACGGCACACCGGTGCCACTTCGTAGTTAGAGCCTTTGCACCGGAGCACAATCGCAAGCCTGGCCGCGGCCGTGCTGCGTAAAGAGCCACGCAGGCCGTCTCTGCACCGGGACCGCGCGTTCTGAGGCGGTTGCAGAAAAGTGCGTGACAAAAGCATGGACAATTGCCATGACAGCACGCAAATCGCCCGTTGAGTTTGCGCACGCTCTCGTCCGCACGAGCGTCGTGCATGTCCATCTCGCCTGTCCTTTGCGGCTTTTCTGTTGCACCCCGACCGCAGGTAACTACGTGCAACAAGTGCGAAGCGAAAAACATCAGCTCGTGCGCAAACCCGCCGCAACTACTGGAGGAAGCAGGCAGGCGCATGTGCAGGTGTAGCCTCACGGCAAGTTGCATGGTCTGTGCAACGAAATCGCCGGGATCCGTGTCGGAGCTCAGCGGGTCGGTTTGATGGCTTGCATGGGGCTGTCCGTGCAGCGTGGACTTGTGCACTGCTCGGACTGTTCACGGTTTTCGTGCTGCGTGCGGTGTTCACGGGGCTTACTGCTCGCAATTTTCGCCGTGTTCGCAGCTTTCGTTCTGTTCTCACTGTTCGCGGTGCTTGCTGCGGTGTTCGCGGTGTTCGCGATGCCCGCGGCGGCGTTCATGCTGTTCATGTTGTTCGCTGTGTTCGCGGTTTCGCGTTGGTCGCAGTGTTCGCGGGGTTCGCGCGGTTCACGCTGTTTGCGCTGTTTGCGCTGTTCGTGCTGTTCGTGCTGTTCGTGCTGTTCGTGCTGTCCGCTTGTTTACCTTCCAGTTTGTTGAGGGATTTCTTCTGAATATAAAATAAGCAACAACTCTAACACCTCATTGGGTTCAGAGTGGTTCAGGATGGTAAGGGGTTTAGGGCTGACGTTGCTAGTGGCCGCCAAACACCTTGCTGCACGGCCAAATCAATGCGTCCTGGCTGGTTGAGAGTCTTGCGCCCGAACCAGGTGATGCAGGATACGTCCACCCCACCATCCAAAGGCAGAGAGCAAGGCGGCCGTAGGGCGAACCCCCGGCATCCTGCACATCCACTGCCTCCGGCGACCCGCACGTGCTTGCCGATGGGCCGTAGCAGCATGTACCACACTACAAGCTATGCACAAGAAGCTTGACGCGCCCAAGCGGACGCCAAAGGGAGATGGATGAGCTCAATCAAAGGTCAGGTGCGAAACTAGCCTCAGTGGGCAAGGGCGAGGCTCGCAATTTCAAGGGCGCGTTTTTTGTCGCTGCTTGGCAGCAGGATTACGGGTTTTGCAGCGGAATGGAGGCAGACTGCGCGCCCTCGGGCAGGCGCCGGACAACACGGGCGTTCTCACACTGCAGCGTCTGCACGGTTCGCGTGGTTCGCGCCGTCCACGGTGTTTGCAGGGCGTGCTCATGAGTGTGCAGCCCCAACTGCGCATTCATCTTACCCAGCATCTGGAATACATGGACGCATCTGGCAGCATATGGCAGCATCGACCGGTGAGAAGGTCGTGAGTGCCTAATAAGGATCGCAATGACAAACCGAATCAGCAGCGATACCGAGCTGGCTGGAGATCTAGCATGGCAAACTTTGGGGCATCAAACTATCTTCTGACGGAACATGACAGCACAACCGTATCACGACGATGAAAAGAACGAATTCGTCATGTGGGGCAAGCGGCACCGTTGCGAGGGCGACCATGTCGGGAGGGGCTCTGGGTGTTGCTTGGCCAGTGAAGGTTGAACTCATCGGCATAGTTCCTCAACCACCTAAATTTTTTCATGCGCACTACAATTGGGAAATTGGGGTTGATGGTCTCCGGATTCATGGCTTCTAGAGTCATTCGAGGGCTAGTACGTGTTCCCACCTCACGCCCAGTACACCGCATCGATGCGCCATCGCCGGAAATTTGGAAAAATCCCCAGCCCCCCCATTGCATGTGAGCCTGCCCAAACATTGCGAACACCAGCACCAAAGTGCCGGACGAGGAGTACCGAGTCATGCCTTTTCGCAGACGTCGGAGGACCCTCCCACTTGCCCCGCGGTGCTGCCCGGCAACGGAGGCTTGGACGTCTATGGGGAACACCGCTCCGCTTGTGCGCACGTCAGCGATCGATGTAGTGGCCACCTGTTTTTGCAGGGTGCGCAGATCGCAATTTATGCGAGGATCGTTTGCCCCATACGCCCAGATGGCCGTCAGGCCCGACCACGGGCCAACCAGGCCTTGCGCTCGACCAAACAGCCGACCGCAAGCACCGAACCGATCCGGAATTTCCAGCATGCACGGCGCACCGCTGGACTGTGCTGGCATCCTACGCCGCCCTGCGCGTGCCTGCTCGCGTCTCGTGCTCCCCATCGCGAAACCAAGCGACCCGACTGAGTTCGCCGAGGATGCATGTTGATGTGTGTTGATACAGTGCGATCTTCATGGCGACACGATTTTCCCCCCAGCGTGATGCATTTTGCCAATTGATATCCGGAACCCTGAAGGGAGGCTTCGGGCGGTCAGGCTATCTCTCTTCCACACACCTGCATGCGCCTGCTCGACAAAGGTCCGGATCGGCGACTACCGAGGCTCCGCCACAGCTGACGGGCTCCATGCACCGTCAGGGCGTCAATGGGGCGCGCTGGCGAGGCTCGTCCAGCGGCGGGTCAAAAACGGTGCCTCAACAGCAACGTCCAGACCCTCTGCCACGCTCACCACCAAGCACCGGCCCCGTGAACGTTCTGCAGGTGGCATTTGTAACGTTGACCCTGGTTTCGAAGGATCAAGCATCACGGGCAAATCGTAAGCGGCAGGCCAAGCCAGCGGCAAGCCAGCGGCAACATCCCCGTCTTTGGGGCCACCACGTTTGACATTTGCCTGAA